AGCCAAACATCTGCCTGACCGGATTTCCTCAAAAGGCTGTTGTTAGCAGGCACTTCGATAGTCACGCTCCTCATAGCAATCCTTTTGCTTGTAGAACCCGCTTCTACATTGTGGACAGTAGAAGGAGGAGCGGTAGAAGAAGTGAAAACAGCAACGGGAGGTGAAGAAGAAGTTGGAGCAGATACGGAAGGAACCAAAGGCACGGAAAAAGTTGGAGCAGATAAGGAAGGAACCAAAGGCACGTCAGAAGAAGGAAGGGAAGGAACTGAAGGTATGGGAGTTGAAGAAGAAGATAGGGGAGGTTCATCCAAAATGGGTCCTAACTCGCCACTCTCAAAACCACTAATGAAAAGTTGGTTAATCGACTCATGAGTATCAGGAAGGGTAGCAACATCATCGTCAGAGACGAGATTAACAGGCCCGTTTGGAGAAAGATGATGAGAAACTTCAGCTTCATCAGAGACGATACGTCTCCGAACTCTTCGCCTTTTCACCAAGGAACCATCCTCCTCTTCTTCGTCGGAGCTATCATCGTCTGCGGTTTTTCTTTTCAGAAGAATATCCAGAGCACTTTCTAAAGAAAGTTGGGTTCCTAAACGAGAAGCTGCAATTGCTTCAGCAGTAACACCTCGAATAGCAAAACCTGACAAAGAGAAAATTGAAAGCTAAGGCAATAAAGAGAAAAATCTTACATACGAGAAAGACAAAAACTCATACCGTGAGTCTTTACTTTCCAACCATGACGATTGGAAATAAATTTCCAAGACCTAGCCTCCATAGGAGCAATCTTCAACAATTTATCTACCCAACCACGAAAATTGGGAATGTTCTCCACAACTCCCATGGTTGCTAAAGAAAAAAAGAGAAACAAAGTTAAAGAAATTTGTAAATTCGAAAGAAAGAGGTACGGGAGAGATGAGAGACTTACGTGCAAAATTCCACTTCTCAGGGAAGGGAACGTTTTGTTCACCCACTAAACCAACTGTGGGAGCAGCAACAAATCGGGCATACCAGCCACGATCCTTATCATCTTCTGGGCTTACCAAAACTCTCTTACACCTAGCCACTAAGGTAAAGACGCCATTACGAAAAAGTCTAAGGGAGTATAGATGAATTAGGTGGGAGAAGGTGAAATCAACGTTTGCTAAATTGGCCAGATGCCTTAAACGAGCAACATCCCTCCATACAAGCGGGCCAACCTGTGCTAAACAAACTTTGAAGAAACGACAGAAATTGAGAATTACTGGGTCGATAGCTGGTTTAAACCCAAGAGTAAAAGGGTATGTATAAACGAAAGAGAATCCAGTCATATATGAAGTAATCCTCTGATTTGAATTGGGGATTAGAATGGGAAAATCATTACTCCAGTGACAATCTTTGCGAACTATGGGAGCTAAAATCTCTGTAATCATAGTGGGGTAAGCATCAACACGATCCAAACCAGAAATTTGGGTTTGAAGTGATTGTCTATCATGCTGAAAAGATAAATCGTTAGGGACTATTTCTTCTACCAAGGGTTCCTGTAATGGTTCAGAGGTCTCCTTGCTCTTAGAAGATAATTTTTGAGAAAAAGAACCTCTAGTTCTAGAGGAAGAACCAGGGCTAGGAGAAGGCATGGCAGAACCACCGCCACGAGAGGATCCTAAGCTACGAAGTCTCCCACCTCTTCTATGTCTAACTGGAGCATTGGGAAAATTGTCTAAAATAGGAACTCTCTTAGGGTTAGGGTTCGAAGAAGACATGATGAAGAAGAGAAAGAAGTAAACAAAGATTCGCACAATTCAAGTGTTCAAGGAAAAAGTTTTATGTGGTAAAAGGTGAAAGGAAAAATTGAATTTATACTGATGGGCGACCGTCAAAAGTAAAAACGCAGTAATGGAAGGATCACAATAATGGTAACTGATACTTCATGAACAGTGGAGCCGAAAAGACAGCCTGAAAAAGTGTTGGAAATTGTGGAACCAATAAGAAGATGACACGTGTCTAAAGCATTAAATAGAAGTGATAATTAAAGCGTCAACTCTGTCAGAACATTAATGGTGACAAAAATTCTCCTTTATGAATTCCACTTCCCAAATATTCAAACTGATGAATAAATGGAAAGTGGGGGGACTATCTGTATTGGGGAAAATTGTATTTATATGGTGATGTGTCATGGCACGTAGACTGACCAAGCAGTCAAAGAATTAAGGTTGGTTAATAGACACGAGCAACGATAGATACGAACAAGTTAAATGAAGAAGGTACGAGCAGTCATACAAATAATTCAACGCTCGTACCTATTCAAGACATTCAAAGGTCAAGGATCGAGAAGAGACAAAGGAATGAATCTGACATCAAAAAGAGCCCAGATATAGCATTTAATGAGTATTAAATACTAGAAACGTTAGAGAATATGTATTGAATGTATATGATTGCATAACGTAACATTTAAGGTCATTAATTACCCCGTCTTATTATGACAAAGGAAAAATCTGTATTCCCAAAATAGCTATAAAAGGGAAAGTCACAAACAACTGTAAGAACACGAAAAAACATCACTAGAATATACTTTGTTCTATTTGCTTTCTGATTATATTATTCAAAATCTCTTTTTTATATACTTTTCCGATTATCAGTAACCCGAGTTCTTCTAAATTCAAGCTTTGACCTAAAATCTAATTTTTGGTTAAACACCAACGAACTTAAATTCCTAGATCCGCCACTGATAACATGTTGTACGTTTTATGTTTAACTCGTTATACTTACATGTACTATATGAGACTTTGAGGATATTATTGACAGAGACAAAACTCTTGGGGCCATATCACATCAAAGACCAAACTTTATGGACAAAAAAGTGAATTACATACTCCAGGCTCCACTGATGAAACCCTAAAACCCCTCCTTAAATCATCATGTTGTACCCACCATTCAGCAGCAATATCACAGTATTAGTTTCACTTTGCTCTCTTTTTCTTTTGTTCTTTTTCTTCTTCTTTTTTATCCGTATGCAAGGAATTTGCAGTATGCTACTAATAATTGTTGTTACCAAATGCCTCTTTGAGTAGCCATATGGACTAATTTTAGCTATTTCATATTTGGCTTAGTTAGGGGGCGGAGACTAAACCTTTTTGATGCAAAGATTCAATCTTTAAAGGGACTCTTTGTTCTTCTTCATCAATTGTCCTATAAGCATCTTTTGAACACTCTGTTTAATCCCCTCTTCAAATCTTGTGTATGTTTCATTTTTTTCTTAATGAAATCCAAAAGGGTATATGAATTGATTGTTTTTGCCTCAAGAATTCCCGAATGAGTTACTGAAAAAGTCATTCGGTTCAGACAGGGGCATATAGTAATAGAGAAGCAAATCTTTGAGCTGAAAAGTATCAAAGATTGGTTCTTTAATGAATTAGTCTGAGGGGTTTGAACTGTTTCATTCCTCTCTTCTGTTCCTTTTCTATAGGTTCTTTCAAACATTCAATATTTATTAATTTATTATTCAACTTTTTTGTTTTGCTACATAATGAGGCAGATGATGATTTACAATTATTTGGACTGATCAATCTGTGATGATCCAAAATTCGAGCTTTTTAAAACTGATGCCTCCATTTTATTTTTGTTTAAGCATAATTTAGGTTCTTGTTTATGTCTGGGAGAATCTGTGACTTAAGATGACAAGTTTGAGCTAAATCTGATAAAGTGGAGAAGAATTGCAGTTAGTCCTGAGAGTTACCTAACACAGATTTCTGTCATAAAATACTAATTTGCAATTTAATACTCTTATTAGTTAGTGTTGGCAAAGTTTGCAATATTTATGTAAAAATTATACGGATCGCTCTATTTGGTCGCTTTGTTTAACCTATACCTATTTTTTAAAATTTTTTAACTTGTATCCACTTTTTAAATAACTTTCGCCCCTTTTTCCTCATTCTCCTCTTTCATTTTTTATTTCTTTTAATGTAGAAGCTAAGAGCTGCCCGAGTCTTGATACCAAAATCAGCAGGGGAAGCAGGACTTTGAACTTTAGGCTCTGTTCTAAACAGAACCATTTCCTCACTCAAAAGAAGAGCAAGTTTAATACCTTAGTGTTGTCAGCTTCTGGTTTGGTGCTCACTGCTCTTTTTGAATTGTTCCTCAGTATCACCATTAACATTTAACAGCTCTTTCTCAGAAAAAACAAGAAGTTTAAAAGAAGATGGATAAGCTACCAAAACAAAAACTTCATCGGTTACAAACAAAAACTTCTACTTCAGCTCTGGAGCTTAATTTCGCCAGTTACAAAAATAAAAAAGAGCTGAAGTTCGTCAGTTACAAATCAGTTAAAAAATAAAAATTTCAGCTCTCGCTAGTTACAAACGAAAACTTCAGCTCGAGTTTGCCGGTTATAAACAAAGCTAGTTACAAAACAAAAACTTAGTTGAACTTCAGCCCCGGCCCTGTATGCTGAAGTTATGTGAAAAAACGGGTACGCTTGCAATTTTTTTTTCAAAGTGGGCACAAGTTAAAATGTGACACAAAAAGCGGATATAGATGCAAATATCTCAATATTTATTGATCAATAGTACTAATTTGTAGGTCACAAGTCACTGTTTAAATAAATATCATTTATATTGAATGGTTGAATTAGTTCAATCAGTCCCTTCCCCTAGTGACTTTGATAATAACATAAAGTAAAATAAAATATATATGAAATGTAATTCGGATAGCATAGTCCGGATTGGAATGTAATTCATCTTTAACAACAACAATCCTAATCCATATAGGTATTCAAAATAATCTCACTGTCACACATGCATAATTTCTTATTTATATGGTGCCCCTCTAAAGTGAATAAAATATCTACACAATATTCTTTGAAACATCTTGATAGCAGTTTATCTCTTATAGTGTATTTCATACTCCAAATTGAAATGTAATTTACTTTTAACAGCTATAATAATTCTCCAAAGATATTATAGCTTAGCAATTGCTAAAACTGACACTATTTAGTGTTTTCCAGAACACGAACAAGCCAAACACAAACAAAAAGCAAATGAAATTCACCACAAAATATTACATTCATGTAATATTGTAATTGTTTTTCTTTAAATCTGAGCCAAACTCCAATTTCTTTAATAAACAACCTTATTATAATCTCGTCTCGTGGAATTTGGGAGTACATATATATATATATATATATATATACAACATATGTCTAATGATCCTTATCTATATACTAGAATCTAATGTAACATAAAAGGTTCGATGAGGCTGAGAAATATTCTGGTACGTTGTTTTAAAGAGCATCATAGTAACCTCCAACAGTTATGTGTGCTCTTGTTACTGGAACTCCTCTCACTGCTGCAATTGCTCCATTCAATTTTGTTGCATGGTCAACTACTTGCTTGATCCTCTGCAATCCCACATAAAATTAAATTAAAAGAAAAGATTCTTAGATAAGATCCACCAAATATTAGTTTTTGAAAAGATAATCAAGAATAAGGGAGTTTTAGCGTGTGATTATCTCATTTAAAAGTTAACCTGAAAAGAAAAAGGGCAGTCCGATGCATTAAGCAAGAGACTGTTCAACTGTACCAATTATACCAAGGCTCCCTTCAACCTTGCTAAAGAAGGTACACATTTAATTACTTAATTATGTCTCCACACCTTCCTCGATTCAACATAATATTAGAGTAGATAAAAGTCCTAGGTTCAAGTACCAAAAAGGCAATCTTAGCTAAAGATCTTTATTTTCTTTAAAACTTCTTTTATTAATTAATTATATCATGTCAATGAATTTTGAAAATCAAACCTTGTCATCAGAAAAGATTTGAAAGCGAAGCTTGTGCTGATTTTGCTTATTGTTTTGGTGATTGCCCATAAAGATGATGCAAATAGTAGCAGCAGCAGCAACCCCAAAAGAGCAAATAGCACCAATTCCATTCAAACTCTTGTTCAACAGGTTCAATCCACCACTGTTTTCTTCAATATTCTCTGCTTCCATGCCAATTTTCTCTTGATCAACCTCCAGCACTTGTGCTTGTTCCTCAAACTGGAAAGTGTCTGCATCAGCTTGGGACAAAAGGGTCTTGTTATTGGACTTTGGTGAGTCTAGTTTCATGTTTTCGAATTCATTTTCCTTCATTTTCTTGAAGAAAACTTGTGATGAGACTTGATCTTGCTCGGTTTCCATCATAGTTGCTCCAAAGTTTGGAGTTTTAATGTAGTCACAAATGTTGTTTTCTTTGGTGATGACTTGTTTGGTAATAACCTCATGATCATTTGTGGTTTCTTCAATACTTGGCTCCAGCTGAATTGGAAAAGGTACTATTTGAGGATGCTTTGTTGAGTCGACAAATTGGGATGATTTTGGACAAGGACAAACGAAATAATTCATGTCGAAATCATTCTTGGAATCAGAGTTATATTTTCTTGAAAATATCATTTTGCCTCCATCATCATGGATTTGGAGGAATCCATCATCAGGAAGAAGCTCCCAATCTTCAAGATCCATGTTTTCCATGTAAAATGAAGAGAAGAGTGGGTTGATATAGCTAGCTCTCAGATTCTGATTCTTTGTTTTTATGAATTATTGGAGTTAGAGAGTGTAGCTTTCATATATGCAAAACACACCCCATTTGTTACATGTCTTCTTGCTCTATGGGGAGTGAAGGTTGAACTTTGCCTTAATGAGATTGTGATGGATATCTTTTTTACTTGTCTAATTATTCCATATCTCAACTTACTGCACCGACTGATTCAAATTCATATTACCTAGGAAAGTGGCAAAGCCATATGGTCACAAGCCTTCGTCGAAAAATTAATATAGGTAAAATATTACGTTTTAGAGGTATATAATATGTATTGAACATCCTTTGTCTGGAATTCTTTTCTTCCAATTTGAATATCTTTGGAGAAATTTCAAGCTTTATCACTGCGTAAGATCGAATAAATAATCCCTAATAATTTTTCTTTTCATTTTATAGATTCGAACTCAGAATATTTAACTAAAATGACAAAAGAAAATTCATTCATCTCATCACACTTGTTGACGTATTTAGGTTGAAGCTTATCACCAAATTGGGTGACAAATTTAGGGATGGTCCAGACTCCAGAGGGACCCACATAGAAAGAATCCTCTTTTGTTGGGCTACTGGATATTTCTTTTGATTATCAATTAGATTTTTTATATCTTGATTTCATTACTTTAATAATTTAATGTCACTTTGGATAAAATAGAACCATATTATGCCCCAACTTTGGAGTAAACTAATGAGAACTTCTAAAATTCCTTATGTTTGATCTATTCGTAGTTTTATAGTAAAAAAAGTCCTAGCCAAAGAGATTGATTTCTAGTGTAACCCCTCTCTTCTAATGGGAATCTTTTTAGAATTTCTTTTAATTAAGAAATAAAAGAGTACAAAAAGTAGAGAAAGAAAAAGTATAGATTGCTTGTGGGATTTCCCTTTGAATGGGCATTGATCATGACATCTTCCCTTTGATATTGAAACATTGTAGAACAATCCACGATTAGGTATCTTGATTGGAGATTTATTTGCTACCTACCAACTAAATTATAATCTAATAAAAGCCTGTAAAAGTTGATAAATTTAGGACCCTACTAAACAAGGTCTTGTCTAAATTCCATAATGGCACTCTTTATAACTTTGAACTAGTTTATAATTACAACTTGTCATGTAAGAGAGTAAGAATCTCGGATTGTGATAATTTTAGGAATTTTTTATTTTATTCTAAATTGATTTATTTTGCGTTTGTAGACGTGCATACTGTATTTAACAAAAGTTATTATTTACAACAATATCATATGTAAGGATCGGAGAATATTTTGTAAAGTAGTATCATGAGACCACTTAGTAAAAGTGTCTCCGCCACTGCTTCATAAAGACACAAAATTATGCTTCTTCTTTTTTCTTCTCTATTTTGTCCAACATTAAAAAAAATTTAAGCCAAAGCCCTCGAATCACATATGAATTTAAAGGAAATTTAAATTTTTTACAACTCCCTAATTTTTATTTCCAATGCTAAAAGGAAGCAATGCACATTTAGTGCTATCACTCTCGGAATGAAGTATCTAGAAATCCTTTTGTCATCATAGAACAAGCAACCGAACAGGAGAGTTTTTGCCAAATGAGTAGGAAGTTAAGGGTAGGCAACTAATAAACGTGGAGCAATGGAAAAATAAAAAATAAAAACACCATTTAAGGGATGCCAATTTCTGGTTGGACCACTTTTCTAGCTTTCGGAGACATGTTCATAGCAAAAAGTCCAAGCTAAAAACTTAATAATTCAGTCATTTGTAGGGGTTGCAAACAGGAGGGTCGGGTCAGGTTAAATATGAACGGGTCAAAAATAGTAGTGCGACAAACGGATAAAATATTCGGCCCACTCATATTTAATTGGATAGAAAATGAGTTAATCGATGATAATATGGATGAATTATTTTTTTTTAATTCATTTTGCCACTATTGCTCATGTCACTGAACTACCTTTTCAGTTAAACCTCATTATATTGCAGTCAAACTGATATTTGGTTCAGACACGAGTGTAAGCAAGCTTGGAATGTATAATTAGCTTATCAATCACATGAAAAATGCTTCTCAAGATTGCCTTTTGGCAGCAAATGTGATCACCTTTAAACAAAGGAACACCATCGCAAATAACAAGGTTCTCTGTTCAATAATATCTCATTAAAAATATCATTATCTGATGGCACAAATGATAATCATATACTATAAATTAGTGCAAGCCAAAAACCCAATACTTAAGCTCCGCAATATTAGTGTCGATGATCAACTTTATATGAATTGCTATATTCAGCATTTTTTCAAGTTTAGTCTTTGATTGTAATGAAAATTTGGTTTCCAAATGAGGTTATCAGCACCAAATAGAAAAAAGATCTATCATTCATTTCATTCTCTCCGGTTATGAAACAATTAAACCCTTGTAAATTTCTTCATCAACTGACACCAACCGCAGAACGGATTAATGGCATAGTAGTCTGGTTTCCAACTCCCATTATTCTCACACGGTAATAACCAACTAGCCAATCTTATTTCACACCGCACGCCAATACTCATTGTGCCGACCTCATTTCAACTGCACGAAAATACCCATCGTGCCAAACATAGTCCTAAGGCCCCAATCATCATCTTTTATTACAATATAATAAAAAAGCTCAAGTAGCATGACAATAACAGGTATAGATGAGTGTTTATGATGCTACGATCTAATTAATTATGTAAATGGTCGAAAAAACAGCACACTAACTCCTTTCAAGATGTCATATGTTCTAATATGAGTTTTAACACAGATAATTAAATTTATTAGTCATAGATTTAAATGAAGCATAAGATAAGGGATCACCAAGCTTCACAAGGCACAAAAAAGCATATAATTTTTCCTTCACGAGCATGAAAATCCTGGATCATGCATATACGCTCGTCACCTCGTATATGCATCACCCCCGCATGTAGCAAACAATACCATTTAGTAAGAAAAATTCCCTCAACAAAGTTAGGCAAGACACTTACCTCATTCCAGAATAATGTTTACAATCCAAAAACCGCCTAAGAAAAATTCCCTCAACAAAGTTAGGCAAGACACTTACCTCATTCCAGAATAATTTTTACAATCCAAAAACCGCCTCCCTTAGAAATACTCCTCAAAACGATCAAAACCTAGTCAAATATCATCTAAGGAAGTCAAACAATGCCAAAAAAAAATATTCCAATCAATAAAGATTCAATCTTAGCCAAAATTCCAAAAGTCAACAAAAGTTTTCCATGCCCACGTGGTTAAAATCCGGAACTAAGACTAAATCCCGATTACTCATTCACCCCCAAGCCTGGATATGTATTTTATTTCGAAATTCGACCTCAATTAGAGGTTCAAATCTCAATTTTATAAAATTCCTAAATTCTACCAAATCCCCATAATTTCTACTTTAAAATTTATAGATTTGATGATGAAATTCATCAGAAAGTAATTGAAAACAAGTTGAAGTTACTAACCAATGAATTTGGGAAGAAATTACTCTTCAAAATCGCTTCTATGGAGTCTAGGTTTGTAACGACCCGACCGGTCATTTTGAGTATTTACACTTTGCTCGGTTGTTTGAGGGCATGAGTAGCTCCGTATGATGTGTTATGACTTATGTTAATCGTAGGTTTTAGTTTGGTTATTCGAAAATTTAAGTTTGGAAGTTTGATTGGGGAGTTGAATTTTTGATATCGGAATCGAAATACGCTTTCGGAAATTGGAATAGCTCCATTAAGTCCTTTATGACTTGTGTGCAAAATTTGGGGTCAATCAGACGTGATTTGATAGGTTTTGACATCGGTTATAGAAGTTTGAGGTTTAAAGTTCATTAAGCTTAAATTGGTGTGCGATTCATGTTTTGTTGTTGTTTGATGTGATTTGAGGGCTCGACTAAGTTTATATGGTGTTTTAGGACTTAATGGTACCTTTGGTTGAGGTTCCGGGGGCCTCAGGTGTATTTCGGGGTGAGTTTTGAGCGAGTTCGGACATTTTTCGGCACTCTGATATTGTTCTGGCACTTTTGGGGGTGCGGACCGTACATTTGGGGGTGCTGAGGCGAAGGAGAGGTGCGGACCGCACATAAGAGTGCGTACCGCAGCAGAAAAGTGCGGACTTCAGAGGAGGAGTGCGGAACGCACAATTTTGTCTGTGGCCGCACTCAAGGGAGTTCTGCAGACTCGATGGTCCGACTTCGGAAGCTTATATCTTTTGATCTACAAGGAATTTCAAGATAATTCAAAAACAAAAGTTGTATACCTTCGTGTCTAGTTTTCAAAAGGTAAAGAAGTCATCATTTGTACATTTGTATAGAAAGTTATGGTCAAAATACTGAATCCTGGTATGGAGGAAACTGTGGTGTGCGACCGCATGATTTTTGTGCGACCGCAGGATTTGGGCAGTGTGTGGCCACACTTGGATTTGAGCGTCACAGTGAAGTTCTGAGGAAGTGCTATATAAGCAAGGCTTATGGTTTTATTTCACATTTTGGTCTTGGGGAGCTCGGTTTGTGACGATTTTTCGTGAGATTTTCAAGAATATCACCGGGGTTCCTAACTCGGATTTGGTTAATATACATGAATATATCATTGTCTTCATCATTCAATTTGTATTTTGAGATGGAAATTCGGGGAACATTGTAGAAATTTCGTAAAGCAAATTTTTGAGAATTGAATGCCGATTTGGAGTGGGATTTGAGTGAAACTAGTATGGTTGGACTCGTCATTGAATGTGTTGTCGGATTATGTAAGTTTTCCCGGATTCCGAGGCGTGGACCAGGGTGTGAATTTTGACCGGATTTGGGATTTGATTTAGAATTTGATCTTTATCAATTGTAGTTGCTTCCTTGAGTTTTATCTGATGTAATTGAGTTGCTTTTGGCTAGTGTTGAGCCGTTCAGAGGTCGCTACGCGCGTGATGGCATGACGGGCGTGTAGGGTTGCACCCTGTGAATTGTGACTCCGTTGTCTTCGGGGCACTCTATGGTGGCCTTACTTTGTTGATATCTATGTTTTCACCATGTGATAAAGTAAATTGAGCTGTACATCATGCTAGATATCATGTTTAGGCTTTTTGCTGATATTGTTGGGACCTATAGTGGTCGTTTCTTGCTGCCATCTCATCGATTTCATTGATATTTTGT